GGTTCATGTCGCGGTTACTTAAAAAATGCCATAAAAGAAGGTTTTTTTCAAATTTTTTCATTTACTGTGTTAAGTTCTATAGAAAAAGAGCCGTCGTAATCATGGTCTGGAGTAACCTTAATTTTTTTTGTATGAAGTTTGTGTAACGTTTTCTTGGTTATAGTTAAGTGCTTATCAAATTTTTTTTTCTTTTCTTTTGGTTAAGGTTATTTGTTTTAAATTGTGGAGTATATTATTAGGTAATTTCGAATTTTGTGTGATTTTCGAATTTCGTAGAGGTGTTTGGTCCGCACCTTAGGACACACCCTGTATGCGTAAAAGTACAAGTGGTTTGTTATAGTATTGAAGTAAGTACCATCAAGACTTCGGAGACGGAGCTGATACTGAGCACGTACATGGTGACTCCCACCTCCACGGGCGGGCCTGTAAGCGCAAAGATTGAGAGTCGCGACATGAAAACCAAATCAAACTCGTGCCCTAGACCTGCCCTGGCGCGAGGCCGGGGACGGCGGGACACGACACAACAAATACACAAGTCCGGCATTAATGATAGATACCATCTGGACCTCGGACAGCGAGCTGATGCTCAGCACGTACATTGTGACTCCCACCTCCACGGGAGGGCCTGCAAGCCAACAACCATCACATAACACCAACCCGCTTCCCCAGGCCGCCAAGCGCGCGAGTCAGGGGGATTTTCAAACACTAAACGCTTTTACTTTGTACCATTTTCACTTCGGAAAGGGAGCTGATGCTCAACACGTACATGGTGACTCCCACTTCCACGGGGGGACCTGAAACCACCACCGATACCAAGTCAATGGTGGGCCCGCGACTATGGCGGTCTGGGAGATGCTGCGCGTCGCTAGGCAACCCAACCCCGAGCATCGATCTGGCCCCACCCTGCCAACGCGGCCCGCGCCAACGCCGAACGCCCATCTCTAGTACCATTTACCATCGATGGGCGCACAACACACTCCAACTTACCTCCATAATTCGGTCTTACTCTTTTGTCATAGCTGACACTGAACGAGTCGAGGATTGCCGATATGTTGACATCGCCCAAGTAGCTGCCTCCAGCCCCCGGAGATCTACAACAAAAAACACTCTTATTTGTGCACAAAGGGGGCCCACCCGGAGTCGTCTACTCACCCAGCGGAAGCCCAGGGAAGGGCGAGGGCCAGCAGCACGGTTGGCCACACCACCCGGCTGTGCCCCATCTCCTGGGGCACCTACACGTGTCCCCTGCTTCTTGGCATTTCGGCACTGTTCACTTGGAGGACAACTGTTGTGTCACATCAGGCACCAACACTAGGAGTGGTCTCTGGGCCCAGCTAGCTCCTCACTCAGTGCGCATGGTGGCGAAACTGTGCGAAATAATCGCAGCCCCCAGTCACAACCCCCTCAACTCTCTCCTTTCCTCTCCTTCCAACACAAAGAAATTGAGTGAAACGGAAGTTGGAGGGTTGAAACGGGGTTGGAACGCAGTCGCGGACCTGGACCTAACCAATCAATACCATCAGCTAAACCACGACTCTTATTATTGCTTGCCCTGTGACGTAATACTCCTTAACCGGTGATCGACAGTGGGAGATACCTACTGCAGGGGTGCGACTTTAAATTTTACCATATTTTTAGCTAATCGCCGGTTTACGGTCAAAAGGTCCTCGCTAGCACGCGACCGCTTCCGGTGACACCGTCGTCACGCAATTACTACAAAAGAGCAAATTGCGTTTGGCCTAGAGTGCGCCTGGCACAGAAGCGACCTGGTCACGGACTCTGTTCTATTTCGCGATAACTAAATCGACCGACCACAAACGCTTTGATCTTGTGCTTATTTGACCAGAATTCATCTCGGAGGGTGAGAATTCGCGGAAAAAAAGGATCACCAATGGTCCTTACAACAAAATAGACATTTCAAATAACTAAAATTCCGACAGAGCAAAATTTTGGTGGAGATCTTGGGTACACCATTAGAAATAAAGTGTCAAAAGTCTTCATTGATGTGTGCTAAAAAAGTTATTCGGGGTCAAAAGTCAAAATTTGACGTTTTTTAGATTTTTTTCGAAAACGGTGAGTTTTATCAAAAAACTAGCCCAGACGAAAAATAGTCTTTATACTTTTTTTCTAAGAATCACCATTCCCGAGATATCGCGATTCTAACAGTTGAAGGAGTAACGTTCTACATCATATGCACATACAGAGTGCGCCAGAACTCGCGCCTGAAAGACAAATGCCTATAAAAATTTCAAAATTTTAAGAGTTTAAATTTCGCACTTTGACTTTGAAAAATTATTTTCCAAGTTTTTTTGCTACAGGCTATTAGAAGCGGAAACAAGGAAGCTATATCCTAAACTGTAACTCTGTTTAATGTTATTTATAGCTTTTATTGACAAAATTTTTGTTCCTTTACTAAATAATTATCAAAAAACTTATACAGGTTCGTCAGTATTATTAATTAGACATAAAAAAATGTCAAATGTCAAAAAATAAATGTCAAAAGTTTTTGACAGATAGAATTTTTTAAACATTTTCTCAGTACTCTGGAGACAAACCAATTACTCTCTTTCAAAGAAGTGCGCGATTTTTTGAACACCATGTATGTATTACCAAATAAATTCTTTTTAATTCTAATGAAATCGCGATATTTATAAGTTTCATGCAGTAGAAAAAAAAATTTCAAGTAAGATAAGATACCAGGAACAGGGAAAAAATGTTTCAAAAATTCTCTGTATGTGCATATCATGTAAAGTTTGTTTTTTTTTTTAAGTGGAAATTACCAAGTCAAAATTTTGGTGAAAAAATTGGTAGCAGCTTGTCTCCATAGCCACAAATTTTGTTTGTACAAGTACAAAATTGTGGACAAAAATGAGGATCTTGCTACAAAAACTTTGAAGAAAAAGGATCATTTAGCAAAAGATACAAGTAGGTATTATGATGATTGGCAATAAATGTTGTGTATTTATTGAAATGAGCTCAAAGTTAATGCATTTTTTAAATGCTTCTTCACTTTAGTTTCAAAATTGTTACTTTTTCAACTCGTTCCTCAAAAACGATGCACAATACACTAATATAATTGCGTTCTTTCCGAGGTTATTTCTCATTCATGTTTATTTTGTATTCTTGTCAATTTTTACTTAAAATTGAGAATGTTTAGCAAACCTGCATCACAAATTGCGTCTAAAATACATCTTAACGGGTCCTTGTTCTAACTTCCTGCTTGCGAACTATTCGTTTCCGAATTTCTAAAAACTGTTAGCGGTACCGAATTTGTTCCTTTTTTGGTGTTTCGTCTCAAAATTTTCTTAGACAATTTTTTGTGTTGACGTTTAATGACATTGTTTTCAAATTAATTCAAAAAACCAGAACTGACAACTTCTTTTATTAAAATTACCAGGAATGAATTTACTAGTGGTGTCAACGATAAGACTGTTTGGCATTTCCATTAAAAAAAAAAAACAGACTTTAGAACGTGACTCCTTCACCTTTTAGAATCGCAATATCTCAGGAATGGTGATTCTTAGAAAAAAAGTAAAGGATCATTTTTGTAGATAATTTTAAGATCTATAATTTTTGTCTGGGCTACTTTTTTGATAAAACTAACCGTTTTCGAAAAAAATCTAAAAAACTTCAAATTTTGACTTTGGACCCCGAATAACATTTTTTGCACACATGGGATCGATGGGGACTTTTGACACTTTATTCCTAATGGTGTACCCAAGATCTCCACCAAAATTTAGCTCTGTCGGAATTTTAGTTATTTGAAATTCACAAACATTTTTGTCTCATTTGTCAAAGTGACTTTATTGTCAAAATAATAAGAAAATTGCGTGTTTCTAACCCAATTGTTCCTAAACTTTGAAAAGGATTTAGAAAATGACCTCGAATATTTTCCTAGAATTAGGTTTAGATATGTGGATGACATTTTTGTCATTCTTGATCTTAATAAATGTACCATTGAGCATTTCCTCGAAATTTTAAACAACCGCTTTGAAAGTATTAATTTCACTTGTGAAAAAGAAGTAGAAGGAAAGTTACCAGTTTTAGATACTTTAGTAATTAGAACTAATAACCCATTAGAATTTGATATTTATTGGAAAAACACTATACAGGGTGCGCCAGAACTCGCGCCCCAGAGAAAATTTTCAAGTAAGGTAAGATACCAGGAACATGAAAAAAATGTTTAAAAATTTTGACATTTATTTTTTGACATTTGACATTTTGTTATATTTATTTAAGGATACTGATGATCTTGTATATGTTTTTTTACAATTATTTAGTAAAGGGACAAAAATTTTGCCAATAAAAGCCACAAATAACATTGAACAGAGTTACAATTTAGGATACAGCTTCCTTGTTTCCTCTTTTAATAGCCTATAGCAAAAAAACTTGAAAAATTATTTTTCCAACAGAAATAAATATAGTCAAAGTGCAAACTTTAAACCCTCATAACTTCGAAATTTTTATAGATAATTTTTTTTTAACATTTTTTTCATGTTCCTGGTATCTTACCCTATATGGCATTTTTCTCTGGGGCGCACCCTGTATATCACCGCGGACTCACATCATTGTCCTCAACATAAAATGGCTAGTTTTAACTTTTTGATTCCCTTGACTCATGCAAGGTTTGAAAAAGAGCTCAAAATTATTAAAGATGCAGCGAAGTATAATGGTTTTGATACTAACATAATTAACAAAATGGTTCAGGAAGTTAAGTATAGAAAAATGATCAGCAATTCCACGACTTTTACAAACAAACTAGAGAAAACAGTTATAACTTTACCTTATATTCCCTCAATCACAAGAGGTTTGAGTAAAATTTTCAAAAAACTTGACTTCCAAGTTGTTTAGAAGTCTCAGTAAAGCGGGAATTTATCTCGGGTTTAAATCCTACCCCAAACTTAATAATCGAAATTATATGTAGTATTTCAAACTCTTCCAAGTTAATTTTAATGATGTATTTTTATATATGGATGGATGCAGAAAAAAAAGATACAACAAACAGGTAATATTTAATAGCCACAGACTAAATTGACACATTCTACGTTTAAGTAAAAATATTACAATTAATATGACGCACTTGATGAGATATGATGGCAACTTATTACACTTGGGTGTGAGTATTGCTGTGGGCTTGCTCCTGTTCGTTACCACCGGCGATTTGGTTGGCAGGAGTGTAGTACTGGAATTAGAAATTAATAAAAATCAGAAAATTACAATAAAACTTTGGCGGAAGTTGACATTTGATAAAGTTATTGAGTTTAGAACTTTCGATTAAATTATTTTTAGAATTCAACAGGTATGTACTCTATTAATAAAAACTACAATTTAGTTTCATCCAGCTGCTCCATATTTGTTCAAAATGTTTTCTTTGATTTGTGCACTTTTTTTTCCAATTTAAGTGATTTTTTTGCCAAGGAGTTTATTTTGTGATGCGTTTTTGCAAAAAAATGAGAGGAAAATTAAAGTTTTTCTATTATTATGGTGGATTTAGGCTTTCATATTTAAAATTTCATTTAATTTACTTTTTTGTACTTTTTTGGTTAATTTGGAAGTGTAAATTCTAAAATTTAGTAAAATGACAAATTCGTTAACTCTTTTATATAATAAATTTTAAATAAGGAAGCAAGGCGATTAATAACACTAGTTTACAATAATAATAACTTGTTTAATATAGGGTGTTTACGGTCTTGGAGTTGAAAACTGAAAGAGTACAGAAATTTCGGTTACAGTAAAAAAACTCACACAATTATTATTTAAAATGTTATTTAACCCCAAAATATTGGTACACGGTTTGAGGGTCACTGGAATTATTTCCTTACTCAGATAAAATTGTATTGTTGCAAAAAATAAAAAATCGTATCCATGACAATGAAAGAGAAGTCACTTTATAGTTTTGACACTGTCATTATTTGATTTGCTTTTGCTTTAGTTTTTATCAAAATTTGAGGATCTTTTGTTTATTTTTTTAGCGAAATGGTTTTCAATGGTTTGATTGTTTTTTTTTATTTTGTTCTAAATTTATGAACATGGATGGCAAAAAATATTAAAATAATAAATTGGTTGTCGTGATTATGATTTACGGTGAAACACAAGGTAATGATACTAATGGCCATTGTTGCAGGCAAACCAGCAGTTCTCAAACAAATAATAAAAAATGAATTATTTCTTTTACAAACGTGATTTTTTTTATCTTTATCTTTTTTTTTATTAAACGTTTAATTTTCACGTTACAGTTTTTTGTTACGAACAATAATTTTCCTGCTTTCTGCACTAATATACCCGATTTAAAATTTATTTAAAATTCAAATTGTTGTTGAATTGTTGCAAAATTATCACCAAATGTGTCTTAAAATACATTTCATTGACTCGCATTTGGAGTTCTTTTCTAAAAATTTAAATGATAAAATTTGAAGGATTTTTAAATATTGTCACAAAAGTTTTTCGAATGAAAATATGTTAGGAGATTACTATTGGACTGTTATAAAGAAAACTGATCGAAAAAAGTTTAAAAAACAAAGTAAAACAACTCATTTTTAATTTGTTATTTGACGATTTTAGGTGGTGGACTTTTTTGAACTCATAATCTTTAAGAAATTACAACCTTCAGCTAAAAATGCATTCCTTTTTATAGACAAAATCATTCATTAATATTGGTATTAACAATCAGGTCAACGGAATAAAATATTAAAGCACACAACGAAATTATTACTTTTTTTCTATTATTAATTATTTCTTTTTTTTATTGGTACACGGTTTGAGGGTCACTGGAATTATTTCCTTGTTTAGATAAAATTGTATTGTTGCAAAAAAAATCGTATCTATGACAATGAAAGAGAAGTCACTTTATAGTTTTGACACTGTCATTATTTGATTTGCTTTTGCTTTAGTTTTTATCAAAATTTGAAGATCTGTTTAATATTTTCGGGCGAAATGGTTTGATTCGTTTTTCTTAATTTTTTTCCAGATTGATGGCAAAAATATTAAAATAATAAAATGGTTGTCGTGATTTATGGTGAAACACGAGGTAATAGATACTAATAYCACTGTTGCAGCCGAAGCAGCAGTTCTSAAACAAATAATATAAAATGAATTATTTCCTTTAACAACGTGAATTTTTATATCTTTWGTTAAATTATCTTTATGTTTATTTGCCTTTAATTAAACAATAMTTATTTATTATATAAGACGATAAAATWGAATTTTAARTTTGAAAGCAATTTAGCGTCGAGGCGTCAGCCGAGACGCTAATATGTTTYAAAAGATAATGAAAATTTTATCGTCGTGTACAATATAAAATTTTATTCAATTCTCACTGATTTTGTAGCCAATTTGGTCGATATTTATAGATGTCAAAGTAAAATTTAACAATGAAATCTAATGTCAAAGATCGTTAACAACTAACAACCGCAGATTTTATTTTTAACATGAAGAAAAGAGTAGATAAAATTTAAATTTGACATAGAGGATTGAATAAAAATAATAGTAGCATTTTTTCACGTTGCAGTTTTTTTCCTTCTTACTTTCTGCATCAATACCTGTGATTTAAAATTTATTTCAAATTCAAATTGTTGCAAAATGATTGCCAAATGAGTTTTAAAATACATTTCATTCACTCGCATTTGGAGTTCTTTTCTAAAAATTTAAATGACAAAGGGTTTTCAAATATTGTCACAAAAGTTTTTTGAATAAAAATATGTTAGAAGATTGCTGTTGGGCTGTTATAAAGAAAACTGATCGGAAAAAGTTTAAAAAACAAAGTAAAACAACTCATTTTTAATTTGTTATTTGACGGTTTTATGGTGGACTTTTTTGAATATTTTTTTGCACTCATTGTCTCATAATCTTTAAGAAATTATAACTTTCAGCTAAAAATGCATTCTTTTTTAGACAAAATCATTCATTAATATTGGCATTAATAATCAGGTCAACGGAAAAAAATTTAAAGCACACAACGAAATTATTACTTTTTTTCTTCTTAAAACTTTTGCTAGACAAGCTTTCTTATTACATTTTTTTTGTCTAGATCCACGTTATTTATGCGACACTATGAAATAAAATATGTCGTATAATTAGACACTTAAGTTGTAACTGCGTTTTTATAGAAACTATAAAATGTCATTACCCTTCCATTATCAATATCCCTTCCGACGCCAATAGTCAAACGAGCTTTGGCCTTCATGGCATCACTGAGAGGTATTTTCGCTCTCACAGCTTCTGTATGCGATTTATAGCAAAATTCAATAAGAGCAACAGCCAAAGCTATCATAAGACCTCCAATAAGTATGTAGAAAATTCCCGCGACATTACTTAGAGATAACTCGTTTCTTGCTGCATCCTGAGAAAAATCATCAATTTTTTTAAAGAAAAACAAAGAAAAAAATACCTGTTTGTCATGAATACACTCAGTTCTGTCATACCACCACCGATTCGTTAGTTTTGTTAGTTCTCCATTTTCTTTCAAACTTAGTACTGCTAGATTAATAGCGTCTCTGTTAGAAAAAAAAATTAGTAGTTTTTAGTTTCAATTGTGAAAATACCTCAATGGTGAGCCTAAAGGGGTTGCAACTCCAAACCCTTTCGCATCTAAATTTCTCCCGACTTTCATCGTATCGCAAGGCTCTCGCTCATTGATGTAGTCATTTTTGGGCGATTCTATGAGAAGGGCGTATTTTCCCTTCGATGTCCGAACTCGTCGAATCCCTTCGTCGTAGGATTTCACAAAAACGTGCTTCCGCGAATTCATATATTCCCACATTTTTGAGTAAAGCGTTATTTGTGACCTCTACAACGAAATATTTACTTGTTAAAAAAACTCATTTGTACAGGGTGTCCCAGCTAGTTAGAAAAGTTTATTGACCATTTTTAATTTTTAAAAATTCATAAAGGCTGTTGTTAAACTGGAATTTATAGTCTTTCATATTACTACTATTTGTTTAGTTTTTTCTTGATTTTTGCTTTTTGCTTGTTTTTTGATTTTATTTATTACAAACTTTAAGGGTTTTTTAATTTTTTTATACTTTGTTATCCATTTTTTTATTGTTTTTTCTTCTTTAATTGAATTTTGGAAATTTTTTCTAACCTTTTTGGATATACAAAAAAACGTTACTGTTATCATTCTGAATTCAATGCTTTTAATATTGACAGGTTTTGACTTAAAAATTATGAAATTACATTTTACTGTTTTCAAGCGAAATAGGTTTGATTCGTTTTTCTTATTTTTTTTCCAAATTGATGGCAAATTATCACCAAATGGGTCTTAAGATACATTTCATTGACTCGCATTTGGAGTCTTTTCTAAAAATTTAAATGACAAAATCTGAAGAGTGTTTGTTACAAAAGTTTTTTGTATGAAAATATGTCACGAGATTACTGTTGGACTATTATAAAGAAACAATCCGAATTCACTGCTTTTAATATTAACAGGTTTTGACATAAAAATTATTAAATTACTTTTTATTACTTAAAAAATTTAAAAATATTACTTAAATGTGGTTGAAATTTTTACTATTTGTGAGTGCCAAAATTAGTTTATACAGGCTGATCCGGTCAAACCCCACATTGGAAGTTTTCGGAGTTCTAACAGTGATATTTATCTAAAATTTTGTTTTTAATTATAATCAGTTAGGTTCTGCTCAATGAGAATATTTTTAAGGTGTATAATTTTATTGCGTTTTTGATTTTAAGAGAGTTTTTATCAGACTTTTCTATATCTAAATTTAACCGTTTTTGAAATATTTAGACTTTTTTGAATATTCTTTAATTTGCATCTTCGTCTCCAAAAATCGATCTCATTTTTAATTATTTTGAAATCGTATTTGGGCATATGAAAAAAAAAAGGTTAGATCTTTTTTTGTGTATTTATAATTGCAACAATAATTAACAAACCTCCAAAATTTAAGGTTACGTTTGGGAAACTTCAAATACCCGTAACTGAATTTTTTAAAATGGAAGGCCCCATTTTTTTCTTGACTAAATGAAAGAGAATTTAATTCTGCATCGATCTGTATCAACATTCCCTATACCTAAATTTAATGATTTCCAAGTTATTTTGACTTTTTTTACAATGGAAGAAATTCATTACTATCCATGGTAGTTTTCGCATAGTTTGCCATAGAAATATTTATCACTGAAAAAATGCCAAGTTTTTTTCACAATTGTGTTATTTTTTTCGTAAATACAAATTAATTTTATTTAATCTAAATTTAAATAACTTTGATATTCTATTTTTTTCTTATTTCTATGACAAACTATGCTAAAGTGACTAATGAATTTCTCACAATATCAAAAAAAGTTACTATAACTTGAAAACTATCAAAGAGAATGTTAATACTGATTGAAGCATAACTAAATTCTCCTCCATTTAGTAAAGAAAAAATTGGGGTGTTTTATTTAGAAAAATGAGTTAAGGTTATTTGAAGTTTCCTAAACGTAACCTTACATTTTGGCGGTTTGTTCAGTCTTTTTCCAATTATGAATACACCAAAGGAAAGATCTAACTTTTCTCTCTCGTAAACCCAAATACGGTTTCAACATAATAAAAAATGGTAAAGTTATCGATTTTTGAATAGGAAGATTCAAATCCAAAAAAATTATTTTGCTTATTCTACTCATTTGATTTGTGAGCTCGAAAATTTATTATTTTGCTTTTTTTTTCAAAATTATGCCTATAAAAACTTTATTTTGACTTATTTTACCGATTTAGCTAGTTTTTGAGGTATAATTTTTTTTATTACACATGGTTTGTCAAAACAAGCCGAAAAATTTACAAATCAAGTAAAAAATATTTTGGACTGCAAAATATCTAAAAACAAAAAGTTTTGCAAAAACGTTTATTAAGTACACTAAATAATTACGGTATAATATGTTTTTATCGACTTTTCTATAAAATATTCTGTATGGAAAATAGTGGAGTCTCTTGACAAAACATTTGTTAGAGCCTTCAAATTTTTTCAGCTAAATCAGTTTTTTAATAAATTTTGTACTTAAAATTACCAAAACCAACATTTTTGGAATGAGTTTTTTGCGTTTAATTAAATTTTCAGTGTAAAAGTAAAGTAATTTAGGGCGTTTTGAGCCAAAAATTCAATTAGTTTAAAAAAATTTGTCAATAGAAGCCGAAAAATCAGCAAATAACTTCCAAATTGACATTATTTTTGACTATTTCGAACGGTTTGGTTAGTTTTTTAACCAGAAACTTGCTCATTACGAAGTTTAAAAATCTCTAAATTAGATATAAAATCCAAAAATTTTTGAAAAACTCTCTCTAAATCACTTGAGTAATCCAAAAACGCAATAAAAACATAACTTTCTATTTTTGATATCCACTTCTGGTGTAACAGGAAGTGCCACCATCTTGAAAATATTTTCATTAGGCAGAACCTAACCGATCATGGCTATAAAAATTTTAGATAAATATTATTGTATAGCTGTTCCAAAAATAAGTTACAAACTTTTTTCAAAAAAATTATGATTAGTATTATTAGCAACTCGCTGGGACACTCAATTTTGCAAAAAACGCGATTTATTTTTTCTACAAACTTTGAAAAAGTCCCACGTTGCCCCATGGTAGAGCGTCCCATACTCGACCTCCGTCTGCGAGGCTAAATCCTCCGGGGAGTTAATGGGCGCTACCATCCTCTCCACCGTGAGAAACGCCGCTAAATTGGCAGTATATGATGAGATTAAAATGAGTGTGAAAAACCACCACACTGCCCCCACAATCCTCCCCGAGACAGACCTGGGGGCTATATCGCACCCTTGTTGCATGAAAGCCCCCAGTGAGAACCACAACGAGTTCAACATGGTGAAATCATTCGCCATGGAATTGTGTGTTGTGTGCTGGCCTGGGGGCTCACGGTGTTCCCCGGTGAGGTGCAGGAGTCGCCATTCGTAAGGCGAGAACCTTGACACCGTGAACAGGACGATACTCACTCCTATGTAACTGAAAATCACGCAAACCCAAATCTCTTTTGAAAGTGGGTTGAGGAAACTGAAAACTCCCGGTTTTTGCTTCATTGGTTTTTTGATCATTATTGAAATTCCTAGTGACATGAAGGGTTTGCTGAAGTCGATAACACGTTCACGTTCGGAGGTTATTGTCATGGGGGCGATTGCTATGTCGGCTTCCTGTAAAAAATTCAAAGGTTTTGGTGTTGTTGTTGGTGTTGAGACTCACATTGCGGACTAGTTCGCCCACCATGCCGTCCCAATTACCCTTAACTTCATGGTTTTCTGACCCATAATTGCCATCCTTGACCACTCTCAGCTCGTCTAAATTGTAATAAACAAAAAATTAAACAATCATTGTATACAAAGTGTCCCAGCTACTTGAAAAAGTCCTTTAAATGGTAAAATTAAATAAAAAATTGTATAGGACATCTAGTACATTACCTAAAATTATTTTCAACTATACAGCATTTCCCAAAAATAAGTTACGATACAAACTTGTGTTTTTTTTTTAAATGAAACACATTTTTGGATGTTTTTATACTAAACTTAGTTTTGGAAATAAGACGTTTCTTAGACTAACAAATTTTTTCTTACTTCTGCAAAGACGAAAGTACAGAATTTAAAGCTGTAGCAATTTTTTAGTGTTTAGCATTTGTATAGATTAATAAATTAAGAAGATTGTTAAAAGTTAAATAACTTAAAAAATTTAAATGGAACACTCTATTTTTATTTTTGCATCTAATAGATAAATATTATTGAAGTTTCAGTTTCAAGTTAGAATTGTAGAATTTCAGAACAAAAAAGTGAAAAATCAGAATTTGGAAACTTTTTTAATTTTTAAAATTCAATTTTTCGAAGAATCAAACAATTTAGAAATCTGCAAAATTTAGAATATACGTAATCAATATCATTAAGTAAACATAAAATGCTCAAGAAACAATTATTTTTCCGACTTGTTTGCCACCGAAATGGAATTCAATTAATGTTTCCTCAGATTTTCACATTACACTTATGTGTTTTTTCTGTTTACTATTTTCTTGTTTCATTTAATCTTCTTGTTTAAATTACTTTCAGGTTTTCTGTTTTTTTCGATCTTTTTGTCTACTGTTATCCATTTTTGATACTTTTTCATAATTTTCTTTTTTCTCCAATATTTCTGTCCTACGTTCTTCTAATTTTAAGTCCAATATTCGTTTTCCATGTTTTTATTCTTTCTTACGTCGTATCTTTTTACTTGTTTTTAGCATCCTTTTTTTCAATTTTTCAACTTTATTTCTTTCTTTTTTTTTGTAAATTCTATCTTAATTGTTTTTAACGTCGCTTTGGCTTTCAAATCAGTTTTGTCATCAAATTCTTCTGCCTTCGCAAATTGTCTTATTCTGATATTTTTTGTTTTTGGTTTGTTTTTAAATTAAGTAATGACAAACTGAAACAGAGTATCTAAACAAAATGAATACTATATTGGAATAATTTTGCAAAAAAAAAACTTTTAAATTATCAGAAAATTTGATGAAAAAGTTCTTTTGTTTTTATTTTTTAATAGATTTGCTTTTCTTTGTATTAATGTTTCTGTTTTTTATTATTCTTATTTTAGATAAATTATCTGCTTTACAAATCAACCGTTTTTATCATTTTTGGTTGAGGCACATAGACGCAAAATGTCACTAAGTGTCAGATTGATTGAAATCCAATCCTTGGTTAAGGTTTTTTTATTAAACTTAAAATTGAATGAATTATTGTTTTTTACATTTACTCAATCTCTACTTTAATTATTTTATTGTACAAATAAAGAATAATGGATTCAGTTTAACACAAATGTGATTGTTAAGATATTTCTTCCATCTCTTGTGCAACTGTGTACGTTTTGGCTTCTGAAACAATAATAATTATTTTTTTTAATGTTTAACGTTAAATATTTTTATAGTTATTGATTATAAACACCTAAAAGTAAATAATTTAAGAAAGACAATGTAATAATCTTTTAAATGCGAAAACAGTAAATAGGTTGTTCCATTTATTTTTTTAAGTTATTGAATTTTTAACAAACGCTTTTATTTTTTTAATATTTGCAAATGCAACACTTTTTTCTTTGCGGTAGTAAAAAATATTTTTAGATGTCTTAGTTTTTGTGTAATAAATTTTTAAAAAGTGCATGTTTTCGTCAAAAAACCGTCTTATTTTTAATAAAAGTTTAGCTTAAAAACATTTAAAAAACACAAGTTTATATTGTAACTTATTTCAGAGTATCTATCAATGCGCTACATTTTTTTTTTAATTTTACCATTTGAAGACTTTTTCAATTCACTGGGACACCCTGTATACCTACAAGTGATTCCTAAATGTTTGGCAATCAAGTCTGCCAAATCCTTGCAGTAACCCTCAAAACGGTCATTTCCGGTTAAAGTCTCTCCGGGTTCGGGTGTGCGTAACATTATATAAGGTTCTTCCTAAAAAAAAATTAATATTTGTATTTTTTTTCTTTACGAAAAATTATTAAATTGAAACTTACTACAATAGTTGTTACAATGTATGTCCGATTTCTCTCAATTTGAGCGTTAGTTTTAAGCCGAATGTATTTGGCAGCAACTGGTGTAAAACCAGTTTCGTCACTCCATTCTGCTACTTTGACCATAGCACTGTTTATAGTCATTTCGACAACATGAAGAGTGTAATTTTGTCTTCGACCATCTTCACTAAAACGTATCTCTCCAGTCAATCCTTCAATTTCTACCTACAAAATTAATTAAAGACCGCTTTTTTAACTTCTTTATTTAGTTTTTGATTTATTTTGACTATTAGGACTCGGATTATATGCAAAATGCATACCAGGTGAATAAAAAGTATGGAACCAAACGTTTTTTGTTTGAACTATTTATTTTTTGAATAAACTAATTGATGAGTGATAAAGTACTATAAAAATGTAATGATTTAACAAGAATAAAATTTTTCGATATTTCCTTTTGTTTTTGAATCCTACAAAAAAAAAAATTTAATGGCAACCCACTATAAAATCATTTTTCTCATAAAAGCTATACTCTGAAGATTACAACTACCTGCTTTATATTTAATTTTTTCAAAAAAAAAATTTCACATAAATTGCAATTTTGACAAAAAAAATCGCATAACTCAAAAACAAAACAAAATTTCTTTCTGAAAATACGATCACATTTTTTATATTACTTTAATTTATATTAATTATTATTTTCTGGAAGCAAATGATTAAAAATAAAACCGCTTGGTTCCATACTTTATATTCACCCTGTATTTGTTATTAAGAGGTATATCAACAAAATTATAAGTTTTTATGCATATCTAATGCTTTTTTATTAAATAGACCAATTAAAAAATGCATATTTTGCTTATTTTAGGAAATATTGCATATTTCAATTACAAATTTCTGATTAAAAATAAAAATTAAACAGTTTAAGAAAAAAGATCCGATTACAAAATATGTTATAGATAAAACAACCGGTAATTCGTAAGCCGTACTCAAAAAATTAGTTTCCTGTTGAGTGTTTCATTTTTGAATACGTTTGATATAGAGTGAATATAAAGTATGGAACTAAGCGGTTTTTTTTTAAATCATTTGTCTCTAGAAAATAAATCTTAATATAAATTAAAGTAATATAAAAATGTGATCGTTTTTTGAGAAAAAA